CCAGACCAAGCTTATCGATAAATTTGTTTCCAATCCGAAGAGCTTATTCAGTTACGCAGCTTCTCTTCGACAAGGCAAAACTGGAGTTTCCCAACTGCTTGGTCCTAATGGCCCGACCAATAACGACGGTGATGCCGCTAACCTTTTGGCTGAACAATACTCTCAGACATTTCAGCTGACCCACATCAACGATACTGACGAAAGCTTCACCTGCACCTGTACCGGACTTTCCGAAGTGGACCTGAGTGCTGACCTGGTGCTCCGTAAACTGCAGCACCTAAGAAAAGACACTTCTCCTGGTCCGGATATGGTTCATTCTGTTGTATTGAGGGAAGCAACTTCAATCCTGGCGACACCACTTAGCGTGATGTTTGCACACTCGCTAAGCAAAGGCAAACTACCGGAAATTTGGAAGCTGGCCCACATCACACCAATTTTCAAAGGAGGTGAACCCGCAAGCTACCGACCAGTGGCCCTTCTCTCCATACCTTCCAAAATTATGGAATCTCTAATATACGACGGTTTACTAGAATACTTATCATCCTCAAAGTTCTCACCTCAACAGCATTGTTTCAGAAAAGATCATTCTTGTATGACCAACCTGCTGACTGCGGTGGATAGATGGGCAACCATCCTTGATCGCAAGGGGAAGGTTGACGTCATCGACCTGGACTTCTCAAAAGCTTTTGATAGGGTCAACCACGCATATCTTATCAAGAAGCTTGGACAATTAAGTATAAAACCCCCTTTGATTGATTGGCTCTCTTCATATTTAGAAAACCGACACTTTAAGGTCAGGGTTAACTTCCCTCTCTCTCAGGCTATGGAATGTCCTAGTGGGGTTCCCCAGGGCTCAATACTGGGACCTCTTCTCTTCTTGATTTATATTAACGATCTTCCTCAACAAGTTTCATTTAACTTATTGCTTTTTGCTGATGATGTGAAACTTTGGAGAGATACGTAATCATAATGATATACTAGTTCTTCAGGAGGATCTGACCCGACTTCAAAGTTGAGCAGACGACAACGGTCTTACCTTCAACACTTCAAAGTGCAAGGTAGTCCATATGAGAAATGTTGCAGACTATAGTTATAACTTAGGTAACTCCCTCTATAAGTTTCCCAAGTCGAAAAAGATTTAGGAGTGTTGGTACCCTATGACATGAAATCGTATGCGAACTGTGACAAAAACGCCTTTCAAGCAAACCTTGCACTGGTAACATTGAAGCGCATTTTTGGCCAGTTTGACGGTAGAACCTTCCATATAATCTTCAACAGTTTTATTCGTCCCCACTTAGAGTACGGAAACATAGTATTTCCTCCCTCCCTCCAAAAGGATAAGGACACTCTGGAACGCATACAACGTCGAGCCACGAAATCAGTTCGGGGACTCAAATTCAAACCCCATGAAGAGCGCCTCAAATCACTTAACCTTTACCCGTTAGAGTACAGGCGTCTTAGCGGTGATCTTATGACTTATAGTATCCTTAATACTTCTGGTCATCCCCTTAAACATCTTCTTAAGCTTAGTCACAACACTAACCTGAGAGGTAACACCCAGAAATTGGAGACCCTACATAGCAGAACAGACTGCAGACACAACTTCTACTCCGTTAGAGTTGTCAAGTGCTCGAATTCGCTGCCGACTGAGCTTGTCCAAGCGACCTCCCAGGAGTCCTTTAAGAGGAAACTTGACTTATTCTTAAGGTGGTCTTGAGTGCTGTTAGGGGTATGAGGGCAGTTTTATTATTTATTTATTTAAACACATATATTGGTACAAAAGGGCACCAGGTACATATGCGCCACACAAAATAATGAAAGTAGGTAGATAAAGGATGAAAAGATAAGGCGGACTGAAATGTACAACCAGAAGATTCTTTCAGTTAGGAAAGTTAGAACCATTCTTTATGTAGAAAGTAAAAGAAGGTTGCAGCAGGATCGCCACTGGCTTCTATTCTGAGCCATATCCGATAACGTCTCTAGCCACTGTGTTGCACTATCTCTCGGACCCCAACCAGGGAGTCGTGAAGGACCAACAGAAGCTAGCCCTTTGCAGCTCTCTTTCATGCCACGACACCATGTCATACACTGACCTCCTCTCCGCTTTCTCCAACCAGTCCCAGGGTCGGCAAATAATGCACGACGCGGAAGTCTCTGGGACGACATTCGTAAAACATGTCCGAGCCACCGAAGTCGGTGTTTCAAGATGGTGACACCAATTGAATTATCGTCTCTGCGCCCGAACACACGATGCCGAACCTCTGCATTACTAACATGGTGTTGCCACTGTATGTCAGCAATCCTTCGGAGACAACGATGATCGAACACAGAGAGACGTCTAACATCCTCAACTCGGAGAGGCCAGGTTTCACAAGCATAGAGCAAAACTGCTCTCACCGACGCGTTGTAGATCCGACCTTTTACAGCCAGACTAACATCACGAAGGCACCAAAGATGGCCCAGATTGGCATAAGCCGCTCTGGCTTTCATTATACGTGCATCGATCTCATCACTCACGCCACCACCAGCACTTATGTAGCTACCTAGATACACGAACTTCTCAACTACTTCGATCTCCTCACCATCCAGGGTGAGTACAGGATGAGAATCCTGCCAGTCTTGTAGAAGTACTTTGCACTTGGAGGGTGCAAAGCACATGCCGTACCTGCGGACACTGATTGCCAACTGATTAAGTGCTGATTGCATGCCTTGGGCATTATCGCACAGTAAGACAATATCATCCGCATACTCAAGGTCGAGAAGTCGTTCTCCAGGCAACATATCCACACCGCCATTACTTACATCCATCAGAGCTGTTTCCAGGATGTCGTCAATGGCAAAGTTGAAGAGGAATGGGGAGATCGGGCAACCCTGCCTAACCCCACTGCTCGAATGGAACAAGGGAGAAAGGTGGTTGTATGCCCTCACTCTGCCTGAGCTGTTCGTATACAGGGCCTTTAAGATGTTAATGAACTTCTCAGGCACACCCTTCTTCAATAGACAATCCCAGAGAACAGTCCTGTCCAACGAATCGAAGGCCGCCCTGATGTCAAGAAACACTACGATTGTTGGCCTGCGATAAGTATGACGGTGTTCTAACATTTGGCGGAGGGTGAAGATGTGATCAATGCATCCTCGACCAGAACGAAAACCAGCCTGCTCCTCGCGAGTCAATCGTTCTCGGGTTTTAAACAACCTACGAAGAATGATAGAAGCCAATAGTTTGGACGCGATCGAAAGTAGACTTATCCCCCGGTAGTTATTGCAGGAACAACGTGAACCCTTTTTAAAGATAGGGACGACTATTGACTCATTCCAAGATGTTGGAACACTTTCTTGCTCCCAAACCTTTCCAAACAACGCAGTCAGTTCCTTAGCCAGAAAGTCACCACCATCTTTAAAAAGAGCCGGAGGTAAGTCATCTGGGCCAGGTGATTTATAACGTTTCAAGAGTTGGAGTTCCTTGCGGACTTCCGCCTCGTTTAGTGGATCAGTCGTCACCGGCCATGGGGAGCAGGACAAGCTGGTTGATGTTGCCGGAGCAGCAGGCCAGTTGAACTGCCCTTCGAAAAATTCCGCCCATCGTCCAAGACGTCGACAGATGTTAGTGATTGGCATCCCATCATCCTCGTAGATTGTTTCACTCACACCAGACTTCTTGCTGCCAGTGGCTCGGATGAGTTGGAAGAGCTTCCGGCAGTTAGCAGATGCAGCTGCTGCTTCCATCTCATTAGCACGCTCCGACCACCAGGCTTCCCGGTCCTTACACAAGCTTTGCCCGATTTCATTACGTAACAGCCTTCGTTTGTGGTCAAACTCACGGTCACCCGGAGTAGACCGACGGGCTTCCATCAGTTGTAAGGAGCCAGAAGAAACCCAGTGCTTGTAAGCGGGACGTTTCGCGAAGCCGCAAGCGGCTTTACTCGCCATTTTCATGGCGTCGTGAAGATGCAACCAATGCTCGTCTATACTTTTCGGTGGGGTGGTAGCTAGCCTAGAGGCTAGCTCAGCTCGATACTTACTTGCAACAGAAGTTGCAGCCAGTTATCACTTCCCGGTTGCCCACACCGTGGAAGGGTTCTCCTGGGGGTACCTGAAAAGGAAATTGGGTTAGAAGTGGTCTTAATGACCTGAGAGCGTGACCGCAGTGCCCAAGGGACAACTGTTTGAGTTCGGTCACACACGACCTTTTTGTGTTAGCTCCGTTCCTCAAAAAAAACCTTACCGCCGGAGACGGATATCCGTGGGATAAGGAGAGGTGTGCATTTTTAGGGCCGACTTTTTCTAACCCCACCCCTCCTTGTGGGAAGGCAGCATCGCTGTCATGCTGGTTGTCTGAAGGAAACACCTTACTGCCGTCACACCTCTGTACAGTCGACAGTACGACTTCGCCTTCGGACCTTGGGTTTGCTGCTTTTAGTCTCACCGCTCTTCAACCGACCTGTCTGGCATGGTAGGACCTCGAGGAACGATTGTTCCAGCCAGCATAGCTCGATTGCTTCATCACGATAGGCAAGCCCGACCACCACGTCAAGGTAGCAGCAACGGTCGGGATTCTTAAGGACTGAGGATAACATATTATTATGATTTACCAAATTCTTTTTTTTCCTCTATTATCGTTCATATACCTAGGTTTTTGCCTGGAGGTATTGGTGATCCACTTCTACTAGACACGGAAGCCCGTTAAGCGAAAGCTTCTTCTATTCCGTACTCAACTATTTGTATAGTCATTGCTTACAATGCAAAAATCCTAAAAACATATCCGGCTACTGACTCACGACGTAACAAGACATCCAGTTATCGCTGTCTTATCATTGGCCAAAACGGTTAACACCTTTGAGTTTTTCGGCACTATAGTTCAGGTTTATCGCTCATATCATACTGTTTACAGACACATGGACGCCTAGTGATGTCATATACACGGGAACGGTTAGCCATATACCACTTGCTTAAATACTGAACATATTATTAAGGCAACACATGAAAAATGGGTTGCTTACTTTGTACTCAATATTCCCCTCTTCTATCTCAGGAGGAAGAATATGTGGCATTTTTGTAGAGATACTTCCACAGTTGTAGCTACCACATATGCGACTATTGGGAGAACAGTTTAAGTTAAGGAACGGGTTGTGGGGATTATCTGAGCTGTTATCCATAGTTTTATTTTTCTTAATATGACCTCTGAAGCTTCTGCGTTGTTGTGGGTCATTACGAAAATTAGTTGGCCTTGTGAATGATTTTGCTGACTTTTCATTCAGCTTGGACTTCGATGTTTCATTACTAGTTGCAAAATACATAGAGAGTTCATCCATCCCGACATGTAAAAGACGAAGCAGAAACTATTAGCAAGATGAGATCTATGCCTTTCTGACGTTCGTATCAAGGTCAAACCGGGATCATTCGACTTTTCCGCTACCAATATCCATTATCCTAGCTTTGAAATTCGAACTTTGTCGAGGAAAACTGATAGTTAATTATTTTTCAAGGTTTGTATCTGAGTCACAAACTCTGGAACAGAAATTGTGTTGATAACATAGTAGTTTTGCAAGTAATAGTTACAAATGAGTTGTTTAGTCCCATAAAGATACATAATCCGTTAACATAAAAGTAACACAGTGTAGCGGTAAATAAATCACCAAAATGAACAGCCCTGCAAATCTTTGACATTGACTCTGGCTTCAATTATTTTGCGGGGCATACCTTAGTCACAATCGTTTGGTCAACAGTCCGCAACAGATTACGACTAGGAATGCCGTGCTACACAGTCCTCGTAACAACAAGTCAACTTCGATCACTCACTTGTAGAAACATTGGCTGTCTTCCAAATATATCTTTGGACATACTCATTCCAATCTTCTGGTTCGACAAGCTTTTGCATCCTCTATCCTATACGTTTTAAGGACAACAGGGTTGTAACACACTGATTATCGGTATCATCATTAAAAAATCTTTCAACAAATGATTCTGTTTTTTTATGCTCAAAGATGCCATAAGTATTCGGAGTTTGACAACACCTTCACATGCAACATCTTTGCAATCAAAGTATACCAACCCGGTAAAATCAGAAGTTGAAAATGAGAAGGATTGAAAATATATTTGGAAAGCTATTGAAGAGTTTGGTCTAAACTGGCTAGTGGCTCAAGATAAAGTAGCAGGCCGTATCCACTTATGGTCTGATGGGGATTTATGAGTAAAAACTTTCATCTAAGACGTATCCAGTAAAACTAATGCGGTCAGCATCAACGTTGAAGACTTACAGAAATATTAATTTCAGGAATTTATTTACTTCTACAGATGTGTCCGGTGGGTAAATATTGACATTAAGTGGTAAGTCATATGACTCTTCTCTCTTATGCGAAAACCAAAAGAAAACCAAGATAGTTGAAAAACACGTTTACACCCGGCCAACAAATAAGCGACGATAGTGAATGAGGTTAGGGAAACATAAAAAGTGCACACAGATGTCACTATTCGTTCATTATCGAACCGCGGTTTGAGATGCCATGACAAACACTGCCATTCAACGGGTGTCTTTTATTGGTTACAGACAGTTCATTTCGATATTATTTGAACAAAGGTTCTATTCCGTCAATACCCTAATATGACTTTCGTACGTCAGAAATCCATTGATTGAATGAAATACACTGACATCTAGTGGAGAATAAGGTTGCGTAAACCCAAGTTGATATTCATTCTCTTGATTTCTTCCTCCAAGTCCGACGCAACATTGTAGTGACTTGCTTTTCTCGACGAGCACGCGATTGGTATAATGGAAACAATTATTATTATAACCAATTGTACCAGTGATTGTTTTACTGCGCTCATTTTGTTTAACGGTATCAAAGTCACTTTTCGTTCGGTCGCACATCTTGTTCGTTAGAAATTTCTTGTGATTTGCCCTTTCGTCTGTACTCGTTGGCACTTTTCGGTATTCTTTCGATTCCACGAGATCGCCAATAAGTATACGTTGACTGGACCAGTTACAACCTTTTGGTTTACGAGCTAGCGAAGGAACCAAGTCGTTTTCGGACGCGTAATCTCATTGCAGTAGTGATCATAGTCAATCGAGACTCGACGCCATCTACAACATGTTCTTTGGTCATTCCCTTTCATTTTTGCTTTCAAAATTCCAAGTCAGGTCTAGCATTGTGCCACAGTTTGATGATTTTCGAAACCTATGTCTTATCCACTTCCAGCGCCTACGTCTAACGTTTTATTAATTTAGAAGGTGGTCTCTTCTCTGCGGAAATGAGTTTTCGCTGACAATGTCCGGCCAACAAATCATCCGGAGTATCTTGAATAGAAAATTATTTGTAAATACCTGTACGTTTTTGATGATGGTGTTACGAGAAAATGTATTCTGGAGACTTGACAAACGCTTTGATTATTTCCAATCAAATCTTTCAGCTAAAGACTTTATTTTCCGTTTTTTCATATTTTCACAGACAGATTATCTACACGCACCTATGAATGACCTTCGCCTAACTCTTTCCTTTCCATAATAAATACGGTATGCTATTCCTAGCCCATATGGTACTTCAGGAGTGCTAGACGTCATGTTCCTGATTGTCATGTAGGACGAGTGAGTATAGACAAGGATGTGAGTTTAATGTAAAATCTTGTAGATTAGGTGGCCACATTATTTCAAATTTACAATTCTGGTGGTAGGTCTATTATTCTAGTAGCAAAGGTAAATGCGATTAATACTGGACTGCAGGTCTACGCATCCCCTGAAGGTGCTAAATTTGATCCCAGAGAAGTTTTCAGATTCGGACGGCTTTTAATGTCGTAAGATCTTACTGATTTTGATGGTGACAAACTCTACCATACACGTTTTAACAGTGGTGAACAAGACAGCACTCGAGAGACGGCGCAATAACCGTTTGCGTCGGTCTTAAATAGTGTGAGCTATTCAATCGGTTAATTCGGAAATTTTTCTCTTTAATATATACACATTCATGTTTGAAGTCCGTCAAGTAAGGCATCATTCAACATAGGATTGAAACTAGTATGATTTAACCAGCCAGTCATTTCGAGCTTTAGGGTTTTAACTACTAACTAGCTATTTAGTATGCATCACTTTCGTTAGATAGACAACTGGAAGAGTTTAGGAATGTCATATTCTTTTTGAGACTCATCAGTTGGATGTTACCAATGAGTAGCTGTGTTAGGAGGAAAACAAAACTCAGTGATATCTGTAATCACAACATTTTTGAGACTGTATGTGGTCATTTTGTAAATATAAATAATGCTGAGCCATGAAAATCACTTCAGAAATGTTTTGAAAGTTTCGTAGTGCAGGAAGCAGTTCACCATTCACAGCATGAAAAAATTACTGTTGGGTATTAGTGGACTAGTATTTCTATATTTGTGGCGGTGATACTCAAGTAAGGCAAAAACTTGAAGTCCCACAACATTTGTAAGGATGTGATCGGAAGATTTCACTTGTAGTGGTATACAAACATGAAAGAATATTTATGACAGTCATGGATTACCGGCAAATCATGACAACAGATATGACTACTGAAAGCCAGTTGCAGCTATTTGCTCTAAACATTTGATTGGTATTCAAATGGATTTACCCATACTAGCTAGAAACAGTATTAAATTTTAGTTAAAGTGAAGATAAGTTCATCTAAACCAAGTTTGCTTAGCCCTGAATCAGATTTACTGACAGCATCTTAACTTTTTAAATAAAATACCTATACAAGTTTCGAGTCATGACCCATTTTTTACGTAATCATTTGGATATCGTTAGTATTTTTTTAAATCACAAACTTCATCTAATTTGGGTTGTTTTGAGTTGTCAACATTGGGACAGAATTTCATTTGATGTGACTGTCTTTAATGATTCTGATAGTCAATAGAAGTGATTCTACTCTGATCAGTAAGTAAAGCATCTTATAGTATTATCATTGAGATTTCACGTTATTCTATTCACTTCTCCATAGCTTGACACGGCGTATATTGTTATATATCGTCTAATGTCGAACTAAATAATTGAGTACTTTCCAATGTCAAGTTTAGTTTAATTTCTCGTCATATCAGTTAAAAGTGTAGCTGTAAATAATTCACCAAAAACAATAGCTTTGTAAATGTTCGACATTGGATGCTGACCACATTAGTTTTAGTCGACTTGTTTAGCTGAAGGTGTTCGGTCATGCATCCGCACCAGATTACGTGACAACATAGCGTGGAAAACAACTCCTTAGTTCACTAGCCAGATTAGAACAGTCGCTTCTCCATATATTGATAACGCATCAAATATATCTTTCCAATCTCTTGGCTTCTGACTTCTGATTTTAACTGATTGGGGGAACGACTCGATTATAGAAGGTGTTACTGGTTAATAGTTGTCAAACTACAATACTGGTGGTATCTTTAAAAACAATAAGTTTATTCATGTAAAATGTAATATATTATAATTTGGTCAATACAAATACCATGACTGTTATCATTATTCATTATTGTTAATATATTTTTTTTAAGAGAAAACTAAAAGGCGAGTAGCTTGAAGTAATTTGTGTACAGTTTTAAGATATTTCAAATCTATCTCTTCAACCCGTCTTTTACCTTCTTCACATCCAAAATCCATATACATATGGTAAAAATCTGCATGGAACTATAAAACGTAAAGAACAATATGAGAAAAAATACATTTAAAGTAAGTACTATAAAGAATCCAAAAGAAAATTGGTCTGAAAAACGTTTGAGATGAAATAAACACCCAGTTTAATATCTCCTAGTTCATGTGGTGCCAATTCGGTGAACCGTTTACATAGAAAACTGATCAACCTCATTTTTATGAACATTCATTTCGGTACACATAATATTCCACTTGAATTTACGGTATCTTCTTCCTTGGCTTAACTCCTCCTGTAGATCCTCCGGGGGCTACTGCCAGTCCCAAGCCCGGGTGAAGGAGGAGGGTTGAGCATGGGGTCAGCGACCCCATCCCGTAGAAAACCAACTCGCTAAAAAAACGCTAACCAGAAAAAAAATATTCAAACCATTCTTCCTTGGCTTCTATCAGTTGACTGTAGAGAAATTAAGGCACAAATTATGGTTCCTTCTGTCATTAGATCTTCAAGATAATCTGTCTGTGAAAATATGGATCCACTGAAAATAAAATTTTTAGCTGAAAGATCTGACTGGAAATAATCATAAAGTTTTTCAAGTTCCTAGAATACATTTTCTCAAAACACCATTGTAATGGAATATGAAGATGTTAGGAGATACATTTACCGAACTTAGACATATTATTACTTACAGGCTGATTGGGATTGGATATTGGACAAAATTGCTCATCATATTCTTTCATTTCCAATTGTTGCACTTTTTTCCTGGTTATACTATACACTTTCCATGATTCCTACATAGATAAAATTCATTATGTTTAAGCACATATTGATATTTAAACAAGGTGTGTGTGTGCTAAGTAGTATGGCGATGCAAAGTTAAAAGTCGATGAGAGTGGATTATTTATTAGTATTAGAATGCCAAACAATTCTTATTTCCCCAAAAAGTTAAGGGAATAAATGAAACAAATTAAATTCCTTATTCTTTATCTATAGTAATGTGGTGTGGGCTACTTATATCGACATAAGTAGTATATATTGTGGGTGAGGAGTAGAACATCTGGCAGCAGAAGATTGAGGAGATCAAGAAGAGAAGAACAGAAATAGAAAGCAATTGGTGGGAAAATCCAGGAACAATAAAGCCTGAGACAATTAATGAACATATTGCAATTAGAGTATCTGAGTATGGTTTTTGTATTTTATCAAGCAACTTTGTAACTTGTGCTGAATACATAATCGGTTGTCCTCACCTGTGTTCTTATTCACTACAGTAAACCTTTGAATAATGAATGAAATATAGTTATCAAGTTGAGTTTGAATTTCCGGTTTTTGAAATAGATCAGATGTTGGGTTTATGTTTAGGCAGGCACTTTACCCCATTGCATAAGCTAGTGTCTATCTGAACTCAGTAGTTAAGTGTATAACGCGATGGTGTTTGAAGCAAACGGTACTGGGTTTGAGTTTCAGAATGAATATCAATCCTGGGATACAGGATACAGTAAATCTGGCGTAGTGGTCTAGAGATTGGGTATTCGTGCACAAGACGGTAGGTCCTGGGTTCGAATCCTCTCTGCCAAAAGCAATGCCATAGAGGTACATCCAGTTGACGAGTCGTAAATAAGATCATTCGACCATATTGAACCATTCATTTTATGACTTAAACTAATAATATCTATATCTAGAGATAACAAGATAATTTTCTGACTTTAATGAAACTTAGTGTATTTTTTATATATAGTTGAAATCATGAGACAATTGAAGCTAGACCACCATGGAAAACCTGGAAGCACTGAACGGCTGTTTCGTCCTAGACATTAACACCGTTGAATGCCGGCTCACTGGTAGGTCCTGGGTTCGAATCTCGCTCGCGAGGCGGGATCATAGATGCGCACTGCTGAGGTGTCCCATAATAGGACGAAGCGGTCGTCCAGTGCTCCCAGGTTTTCCGCGGTGGTCTAGCTTCAATTGATTCATGAATTCAACTATATATAAAAAATTACTAAAAATCTCCACAGAAAACCCCCTTACAGTTTATTTTAGTTAAGTGAACCATTTAACTAATTTTCTAAAAGATACCTGAAAATATATTAATCAATAGTAATGAAAAAGATAATGAATTAGTATTACCTCATCAATTGAATCTTCATGATCTACATGTTCAACAGCTGTTACAATGATTGTATGATCATCATGACATTCACTATTCCATCTTGACCAACCAAAAGCCATAGATGGACTTAATAAAGCCATATGTTGATATAGATTTTCTTCAACAAGACGATTCTAAACAATCAATAAAGAATATTTAATTATATTCACAATAAGACTATGAATGAGGAAATTTTGTTGTTAAGTAAAATCTCTTTTTTCTTTTTAGGCTTTATTCCAAAATAGTTATGTATACCACGTTCCTGTCAAGTAAATTCAAAATGAGAATCTTTAATACGAACGTCAAGACAGTATGTTCTACTGTACGGAGCTTAAACGTGGAGAACTACTACAACCATCTTCAACAAGGTACAAGGATTTATAAACAGCTGTCTACGCAAAATACTCATCATTCACTAATCGGATACTATCAGCAACACTGGTCAACAACAATGGTTAATTTGGTTATTTATTCTCTGAAGAAGTGGCTTACACTGAGTCACGAAACGTCAGAAAATCTAATTTTTCTACTCATTGGGATATGACAAATATATAATTTATTTATATCAGCAACACCGTTTTATGGGAGAGGACAAACCAGCTTCCAGATGAAGAGGAAATTAGGAAAAGACGTTGGAAGTGGGTCGGACATACATTAAGAAATCATCAATGTGCACTACAAGGCAATCCCTAACTTGGGATCCGGAAGGGAAGCGGAAAAGAGGAAGACCAAAGAACACATTAGGTCGGAAAATAGAAGCAGATTTGAAAAGGATGAATGTTTACCGGAAAAAAGTGGAAAGGAAGGCTCAGGACAGAGTTGGATGGAGAATGCTGGTGAGCGGCCTATGCTTGTCGACGAGGAGTAACAGGCGTAAGTAAGTAAACGTTCAGAATAATGTTGTCAAACTACATAGCTTGAGAAAAGACATACTATAATAGAACATTTGTAGGCATACTATAGGCCAGACAATAAAGCCTCATGAGATATCTTATATGACTGACTCTAAGGAGAATCCCGATCTCTTAGTATATACATTATCATTAAAAATTTTTAGTTAGTGTACATCGTAAATTGAAGATCATCTGGAGGTTTTTTATAAGTGAATGAATATTCATCTTCTGAATAGTTCTTGATCGATGAATTTGAAGATTGTACTGATCGTTAGATCGTAAATAGTTTTACTCGTTTGTTCGATAGTTCTAAGAAAGATAACATCCGAAAAAGAACAATGGAGTCTGGAAATTCTTCATCCTTATTTATGATGAAGTGAATAGCTGAAAAAGATAATCGGTGTACATCGCGAACATTTCAACGTTTATTATAGTTACTTCTTTTGGTGGTATGGGGCGCTCTTAGTTGGATAATGTGGTTTTACAACTTTAACTGTAGTCTGGAGTAATTTTACTGGCATCTAATTTCAACTGAAAGAAGATTCTTGAAATCCATCCACATGTATTGAATCAATAAGTACTGATGAACTAAATCATAATTAAATGTCTTAGGGGAATATCTTTGAGCTCTATATCCTTTTTTATTCCCCCCTGATTGTTTCGTTAGACAACCCTTTTCGTCATGAATTGTTAGGTTGGATTACAAAATGATAAGAGTTTCCATGTTCTAGAATCTCTTTAGCATTCTCAGAGTTTCCTTCATCTAGAATTCTAATACTCTTTTAATCGATTTTGTTTCCGTAGTTATCTAAATATATTAATGAGACATTGTGTAATTTAACTACTGGTCTGTATTCTTGTTTACGTAGATACGACATTATGTTTATTGTAGTTGGCAAAAGGTTCGTTCAGAAGAATGATGAAAGCTCCACGACCAAACCATCCAGCTCAGAGAATAAAACTCCATCAAAATCACCCACCTGAGCTACAAATCTTCACCACCACCTTTGAAGTTACAGGGGTAGTCATTTTTAATGTCAAATAGTCAAAGTATGTGTTTATTGATTTTTATCAAGACAAGAATTCCGCCTTAGATTTTGTCTCTTCTAAATATTATATAGTTGAAATCATGAGTCAATTGAAGCTAGACCATCATGAAAAACCTGGAAGCATTGTACGGCCGGTTCGTCCCATTATGGAACTCCTCAGCAGTGTGCATCCACGATCGCGCCTTGCAAGATTTGAATCCAGGACCTATCAGTCTCGCACGCGCAATGTTGAGGAGTCCCACAATAGGACGAAACGGCCGTCCAGTGCTTCTAGGTTTTCCATGGTGGTCTAGCTTCAATTGACTTATGATTTCAACCATATAAAATTACTAAAATCTCCACAAAACCATCTTCTTCCAAATATCTTATATTTTTAGATAATTTCATGTACATACAAGGTATTACTATTGTAATTCATTATTTGATCTCTGTATTTCGACTTTCTTGTTCCTGGTGTTGACAACATATTTGTGTTTAGTCTACTGAATGAAAAACATTCAACGATGAAATTTTATTGAATGATTTCCTTTATCCTCGTAAATTTCATGACCTTCATGATGTAACTAATCTATGTATTAGTATATTTGTTAGAATGAAATGCAGAGATTAGTTGCGGATATGACGCATTTATTAGGTAAAGGCTGATGATACTGTGGTGTATGCTATTTATGTTGACAGACATAAGTAATATGTAACATCGATCGGAAGTGGCAGCAGAAGGCTAAGAAGATCAAGTTGAAGAGGATAGAAAAGAAAACAAAGAAATTGTGAAGAGAAAGAATGAAGGACAAATGATGAAAATTTTCAATGAAATTATTCAGCACATGTAAGCAAAGATGGATACTGGCTAGTAGTGGAATCCAGGACGAGAGTTTCGTCCTATTTGAGACTCGTCAATTGTATGTACCTGCATCTCAGAGTTGATGTTCACTCTGAGACTCGAACCCAGTACCTTTCGCTTCAAACACCATCGCGTTATCCACTCGGTCACTGAGTCCTGATAGCCACTTGCTTGTGTGATGTGGTGAAGTTTAAATCCATTTAGTATTGTTTGTTTGAATCTTCCTATCGATGTGTTAGGACTGAAAATAGGACGAAACACGCATCAAAATGGATTCCACTGCTAGCCACTATCCATCTTTGCTTACCATGCTTATGAATTAATTAATATAACGAGGCAATACGCACAGTATGCACATATGCCAATTAGAGACTGATCAGTTGCAGTCCTAACACATCAATGGGAAGATTCAAACAAGTAATACTAAATGAATTTATTTAGTATATGGTTCTCATATTTCCCCAAGACATTTTGTAATTTTAAAATTAAAGTACATTGGTTGTCCCCCCACTTGTGTTTTCATTCACAACAGTACTACATGACGGATTCGTACTCATACCTTACAGTATCTTTCTCTTCATTAAACTATATATTTTAAAAGAAAATCTATAATGAAGACTGAAACAAAAGGGAGACAAACCTTGTTAAGACATTCAATTCTACTGACTGAATCTTCTCTAGGAAATATATTCATACCTGATTGTTGTAATACTGTGATCAATTCATTCAGTGTAAACCATTTACCCCATAAATGATTTAATTCTCGTTTAGTATGTTTTAATAAATCTGTATCATTTTTCTCAGTTACATTTATACCTTTACTTGATCCATTGAACATTGTACTATCACTGCCAATTCCTATGGATTTTTCGGTTGCTAGGGTATTTGGAAGTATTGATATTCGATCACCTAAAATATGTAATCGAAGTTCAATACAACCACCTATTATGGTTAATAAACATTGATTCGTTGTTGATGATGATTGTAATATTGATTGATATTCATCATTAGATAAACCAAGCGTCGGTACAGGTCCAAGAATGATACATTCTTTCGATTTGTCCGTAATACCATTCTGATTGTGTTCTATTATCATTGGTTCAGGTGAACTACCATTCTAGTATAAAGAATAAATAATAATCATAATAATCGTTTTATTGAGTATCATAGTGTTGGGGATGTCAAATCTCCAGAAATTACATGGTAAATGGCTTAATTTTGTAATTTTATTTCGAAAATGTGAATTTCTTTTTTTTCAAGTGGCATTTCCCACTTGTAAAATATCTTAAACGCTATTAGTCCATTGTATCTTTGAGTGTAATGCTACCCAAGGACAATTTATTGCTGTATATATACGTTTGATTTTTTTCCCCTTACGATTGCTGTGCTTCTGGCTGCTACGGAATATATTTTCCCCGCTTCCAACTTGAAATTCCTACTTTAGTTAGCTGGATCTGGGACGCGTCATAATAGCTAGCTTATCGGTCTCTGGTCACAAGTCTTTGTTCCATTCGCTAACTAGTGAATTCGAAACGCTTCAGATATAACACATAGGCATTTTTTTTAGTATGAAATCCCTAGAGCAATATATTCAGTGTTATGACAAATTCTTATCTTATACCCATTAATATGTATGTAATATACTTACTTACTTACTTACTTACTTACGTCTGTTACCCTCAATGGAGCATAGGCTACCGACCAGCATTCTACAACCCACTCTGTCCGGGGTCTATGTATGTAATATAGGCTTTTGGGAAGATATATTTATATAGTTAAGATCATGAGTCAATTGAAGCTAGACCACCGTGGAAGCGCTGGAAGCCCATTTCGTCCTATTGTGGGACTCCTCAGCAGTGTGCATCCACGATCCACCCTCGCGGGATCCGAACCCAGGACATAACAGTCTCGTGCCAGAGCACTGAACCGATAGACCACTGAGCTGGCCGGCATCCAACGGTGTTAATATTTACTTACTTACTTATCATTTACCTTAATCTGTAAACTTTTTCAATTACTTATGCTGCCAGTGTATATACCTTTTGTCATAGGATAATATTTAAATACGTTTCACAGTAAAGGATCTTTCTAACTACTTCTATGAATTCGGTGTTCATCTTGTTGTGTTAACGAGGTATGACAACTTGGACCGATGTATATATGTGCCTGATCCTACGTTGTAACTGACTGGAAGGATCTCTAGCTTTTTCAGAGGATTTTAGTGATCCTATATCTGACACCAATTAGATTAGACGAATGATTGGTATCAAAATATACATGTTGCCAATCCTCGTATATAATCATCGACTTAAATCGCGTTAGTGAATAATGGAACTAAATAAGTCAAATACGAGGATAAAGTTTTGAGTACGTATATTTCGTACAATCGTTGATTGGAAAGTGAAGCAAAACAAAATGATTCTAAATGGAGAAGGTGAGTGAGCCAACTCAGTTTAGCCAAGAATGAATCGATATTTGTAGTCGGACAAAAATAAGTTACAGACACTTGTTGGATAAGGAAAGTAATGAGCACACAAAAGATCATATAAAAAACAGTCAGGGTTAATAAGCGAATAAGTGACAAGGTTGACTTGGGAAGAATGGTTAGATTGGTTTATCCGGAAGCCAGAATAAGCTATTTGGCCTTAACATAGCAACTGACACTACAAGATACACAAAGAAGAGAATGTTTACAAAATGCTGTGATGTTTTTTTAGGTGGTAGGCATTATAAAATGTAAGTGTAGGCTTTATACAAAAGCGTATCAATGCATTATCCAGTCTATAAATGTAATTAGTTAGTTATATGAAATTCGAAGTAATAGATACGTTTACTGTAATATTTGTATGTGATTAGAAAATAGTTAGTTCAGAAGTTTAAGCCTCCAAATGTTCTGGTACGGCCGAGAGTGTGAAGAGTTTGCTTTCTCTTTCGAAATCCTCTTACATAGCCACGCGTATATAGCTTCTGCCAGGGAAGACTTACTAACTGCTTTCTCGTGGAGGGGGTGTTATTTACGAAATTGAAAGGGCGAAAAGCAAATGTTCAACGCTTTAACTGGGTTGGTGAATACGGAGGATTCACATAGGGGAGTTGAAAAACTCTGATTTCAAACCAATGGTGCACATGGGCTCCAGGATCCTGGAGGAACAAATGGTGTATGAACCAATTGTTGGTCACCGGCTACCATGAGAATGCATCTCCTCCTGTTTTTCCACTACCTTGTGGATCTGACCTTTATTTCAAAGGCTCCTGGTGTGGCCCCCTAAGAAAACCACCTGCTTTTGTTTGAGAACCTGGGCAATATCACAGCCCTCACACAAATCAAATGAGATTTGTGTAGTGCTTATATTTCTGGTGCCCCTTTGTACCAATATTTATGTATTTAAATAAATTGTTTCAGTAGACTACCACCATAAATTGATTAGGTCATAGAATATTTATTTATACTAACAGTAAATTCTTGACATAATATGTTCAACTACACTAGATTAGCTAAATCACTACGAATTCGCTTTATGATGTTTCTCAAGTCCTAGTGGAAAGATATGACTGGCACAGTTTGAACATATTAAGAGTAAAATAGTGGTCATAAATGGGGTTAAATGGTTGTCACTCTATATTCAAATTGATTAAAATTGAAAATATATGGCACTGCAGTACCATCTAGTAGTTCAGTAATTAAGGTGTAGTATCGGTTTATATGTTAAGCCTATATACTTTATTCTAGCTTCTGGCCAAGCCAATTCGCCTGTCCATTATGAGTCATGTTTTAATCTTGTCAATTATTCACTTATCAACCCTGACCATTTTTGTATGGGCGTAGTTGTGTGTAAACCTTCTTATATTATTTATCACATGTTTGTCATTTATTTTTGTCTGATTATAAATACTGATTAAAGCTTGCTTAAAATGAGTTGGCTTACCAGCCATCTCCAATACGCGTCATGCATGCTTTGCTCGCTAACATCTTGCTCTTGTGCTCACAGCTTTCTGACCTACGTTATTTGTCAATAAAAATGTAGTTGCCGCTTCCCTTTGCCTTCTGATATTACGCACCGTTAAGATTTGTATTATAACAGTTATCGAGGTGAATGATTAACAAATCACGGCACCACATAATTGGCGATCTCGACTTACGAACGCGAAGCAAAATTGGTAACTTCAACGTGCGAACTCACAACAAAGGGTGGTGAGACTAAACTATACTGCCGACCTTTGAACGAATCCTAAATGACCTTAAGAAATATTAGCCAATTATAAGACAGTATACAAATAAAGTATATTATAGAAAACTCGAAAATTAAAAGGGATACTGTTCTTTTACATGACTCAAAAACTTGTCAAGGTCAGATATAGGTTCAGAAGTTCTAAAATCATAGTGCATACGGTACATCAACAGATCGATATGGCTCCATAGTAGTCGACCTCTGAAACCATGATAAGGTCTCAAAAATTCTTTTAGCTTCGACCACATAGCTTCAATGTTGTTGGTATATTGGTATGGTTTACGGTTTAGGGTAAGAATTAAGGTTTAGGGTTAAGGGTGAGACTATAATTTATGGGCGACCTTTGAGCAACGCTAGATTGACCCTGGGAGTGTCAACATAATAACTAAGACCGAATGAGGGTTATGAACCTGTGTGAAGAATTCAAATTATGATTTACAGTTCATGCTTAAGGCTAGGAATTATACTTAGGGTTTTAATCACGAACTGACATCAACTATAATGCCAAAACTCTATTTATCCAAATGGATAATTGAATTTAGCGCCAAAATCTTACGATCACTCCTCTTCTAGACGCTGAATTATCACGTCTTCCCTAAAATCCGCTGTAAATCGATCGTACGTAAGCATCAGGTACCGAACTTAGCGCCGTGACCTTGGAAACCCGCGAAAGCTTCTGATTGACTCGGCAGTATAGCTTAGTCTCGCTGAGTTCCTCCATTAAGACAAAGTAACTGTCAATACTCTCCTAGTTTTAATGTGTCAGGTACAAACTAACAATTACATAATATTGATTTTTTTTACTTACAATAACTTCTTTACTTGTTGCTTCATTTGATTTCATAATAGGTGTCGTTGATTTAACCATTGGAATTGATTGTTGTTCATTTGTTATGATAGAGTTTTTAACATTTGTAGTAGCACTTGTTGTATCTGAATGAATTGATTGTACTATTGTATTGTTTAGATCATTTCTTCTTAATGGTAATGGACGTAGCTCCCAATACTAAAATAAAGTTTTCAATCATTAGATTAGTATGTTCGAATCCATTTGTTGAAGTAATAATAATAATGATGTGTAAATATTCGGTATGGATCATAATTTAAGATGTTTAGAAGATAAAATGGTTAAAGGAGTAGTCGGTAGGAATTCCATGTTAGTTGGAACTGGTCAACAATATGTACATGAAATCTTGAGGAAACTGATGCTTTCTTACGAGATTCAATATCGAGTCATCCAATCTGTAATTCAATAACGCTACTACTAAGCTTTAAGGGATACAGATAAGTGTTCCTTTCATTTTCTAAACACTATCAAGGAAAAACGGAAGCTGCTTAATACTTTTTTGAAATTAAAGTAGTGAGTTGGCGCACTGATTTAGTATATGACTATGGTCACTCCAGTATTTATTGAAATTAGCTAGTACTACATACATGTATATCGTACTATATATCATTTATTTAATCAACTGACTTCACTTTGCATAGAACTCAAATTCAAACCTTACCAATCACTTAACATTTACCCGTTAAAGTACAGGCGTCTTAGAGGTGATCTTCTTATGACTTACAGTATTCTTAATACTTCTGGTCATCCCCTTAAACAGCTTCTTAAGCTTAGTCACAACACTAACCTAAGAGATAACACTCAGAAACTGGAGACTGATATATCTGAAGCGTTACGAATTCACTAGTAGCGAACGGAACAAAGACACGTGACCAGAGACCGATAATAGCTATACTGACGCGACCCGGACTCAGCTAACTAGAGTAAGAAGTCCAAGTTGGAGCGGGGAAGTTATATTCCGTAGCAGCCAGAAGCACTGCAATCAAAATAAGGGAAAAAGTCAAGCGTATTTATACAGCAACAAAATGTCCTTGGGCATCGTTAATAAATAGCACACACAAAGAAACAATGGACCAATAGCGTTTAAGATAGTTACAAGTGGGAAATATGATGTGAAGGTAATAAGAGCACGTTTTGGCGCAAAAACAGCTAAATTCAAATTTCCAAAATAAAATTACAAAATCGAGCCACTTATCAAGTAAGTTCTGGGGATTTGGCATCCTCAACAAGACCCAACATAGCAGAACAGACTGCAGACACAACTTCTACTCCGTAAGGGTTGTCAAATGCTGGAATTCCAGGAGTCCTTTAAGAGGAAACTTAACTTATTTTTAAGGACTAAGGATAACATATTATTTTGATTTACCAAATTCTTTTTTTTCCTCTATTATCGTTAATATACCTAGGTTCTTGCCTGGAGGTATTGGTGATTCACTGTTACTAGACACGGAAGCCCGTTAAGCGAAAGCTTCTTCTATTCCGTCCTTAACCATTTGAACCATATGTACGTAACTTCAACATTGATTCTTTGCATTTTTGAATGTGAAAAAAGTTGCCATGGTGATCTAGCTTCAATTGACTCATGATCTCAACTATTGAAAAAAAACTTTTGCTTAGTGAACGTATCTAAACTATAGATTCCGTATGTATTTTAGTTTCGAGGGTATATTCTATAACTGTATGACAAAAACACAGGAGATTATCTAAGATAATTATCGCAAACCTCTTGACGCTAAATAAAGTTTGAATAGCTAATCCAAGTTAGATATTTAAAAACCGTTGTTTCATATAATTTAGCTCTGTAACAAAGTAGAGACTTATCTCTGGTTTTTCGCTGGACTTTATATTCAAATAATAGTGATAGTATAGTGAACAAGAACACAAGTGGAGACAATGTAATGTATCACAAGTGGGTTTTTGTGGAGATTTTAGTAATTTTATATAGTTAAGATCATGAGTTCATTGAAGTTGGTCGCGCGATTTCTTGGATTGGTTGAAGTTAGACATTAACACCGCTGGGTGCCGGCTCAGTGGTCTATCGGTTAAGTGCTCTGGCGCGAGACTGGTAGGTCCTGGGTTCGAATCTCGCGAGTGCGGGATCGTCGATTCGCACTGCTGAGGAGTCCCATAATAGGACGAAACGGTAGTCAAGCAGTGCTTCCAGGTTTTCTATGGTGGTCTAGCTTCAATTGACTAACGCTTTCAACTATGAATAATAATCCTGTTATTTATATTGTAAATGTTCTCAAGTTTCCAGTGCTTCCACGGTGGTCTAGCTTCAACTGACTCATGATCTTAACTATATGAAACAATCGAATGTATTTGAACACAAAATTACAGAATATCTTAGTGAAATCTGAGAACCATACAGTGAATACTTCATTTGCAAAATGTTAATCAATAGTCTCAGACTTCATTGTTCTTTCGTTTCCACACCAATTATTCTTTGTTCTCATTCTTTCTTCTTCGATCTTCTTAACATTTTGCCTGCAGGCATTTCCCTTTCGATTGATGATACATACTACTTATATTTGTCGACATAAGTAGCATACATCACAATACAATTCAGCTGGTTAGATCCAATCGAGTGTAATAAGGTATGGATATACGACTTTCAGATTGAAAGTAAACTTTTCGAATCACTGATCTCTCTCTATCCATTAGTAAATGTAATGCAAGTAACTTGAGAACATTTACAATATAAATAACAGGATTATTATTCATAGTTGAAAGCGTGAGTCAATTGAAGCTAGACCACCATAGAAAACCTGGAAGCACTGCTTGACTACCGTTTCGTCCTATTATGGGACTCCTCAGCAGTGCGCATCCACGAACCCGCACTCGCGGGATTCAAACCCAGGACCTACCGGTCTCGAGCCAGAGCCCTTAGCCGATAGACCACCGAGCTGGTATCCAACGGTGTTAATGCCTAACTTCAACTATGAAGAATACTAAATCTCCACAAAACCCCTTCTGATAAAAAGATTATTATTCAACTGATTCACTTACTTGAAATGGCATATTAATGTGATAATCTTGAAATATAGCAATTGTACCAAATACACTTGTGGAAAATACGATAGTATTGTCATCTTCATTAAATTTAATTAATTGAATACCTGTTGTACGCCATTGTAGCTTCTCTGGATCCCATCTAGCTAATAATGGATCTTCTACAATGATTATACATTTTGGTATACTAAAAAGATAGAATAAAAAAAGTTCGAATTTCTAGATATCAGATAAACGTTGTTAGTGAGATGGTGTAGAAGATTTGTAGCTCAAGTGGGTGATTTTATGTGGGTTTGTTCTCTGAGCTGGATGGTTTGGTCGTGGAACTTTCATCGTCCTTCTGAACGACATTGTCAGCACAAACTTCGGGTAGAAGTGAAGTGTTTGAATTTCTCCACATGTGCTTCATAGCTTGTTCTGTGCACCTTGATGTTGATTGGTTCTTATTGACTTTAAATCTGTCATTGTTTATTTCTTTGTTTTCGTTGTACAACCAATCAACATCGAGGTGCGCAGAACAAGCTGTGCATCACATGTGGAGAAATTCAAACAATTCACTTCTACCCGAAGTTTGTGCTGATGATGTCGTTCAGAAGGACAATGAAAGATCCACGACCAAACCATCCAGCTCAGAGAACAAACCCATATCAAAAACGTTGTTAGTTCTAATAGCAATAATAATAGTAAAATTATTGTTACCTAATTGAAGACAATGTGATTATCGTAATCAATGATTGGAGATGTTGGATGAGAAGGCTGAGAATAGATAGCAGTGAAGCAATGTTGATTCACTCTAAATTTTTGTACTCAAAATAATTCACCTACACTTATCTCTCACTTATTGCATAGTCATGAAACAGCATATGATCTGTTCTTCTTTGACCCAGTATATAAATCTGGGATTCGTTTTCAATAAGCGTGTAGAGCCAGTGAAATGTCACTGAACCCTAGCCAAATCATCCGACAGTTGGGTCACTAAATATGAAACAGATCATCGATCCCCGTCAAGGTCAAAGACAATCAACGTGTATCAGTTAACCATACGCCATGGACTGGCTCATGCGGCAGTGGTTCTACTTTCGCTTGTATCTACTTTAATTAATATATTCCTGTAATAAAGTCCTTTGTGTTGTACAGTCTTTAGAGCATCAATGGTCCCTTGATACGTCGATGGGTCAATCCACGTAAGGTGCTGATCGCGGGGTGTGACTTTGAAAGTAGCTTGTTCGTTACACCATTCCCGTCTAACTCGAGTAGGCCTTCAATCATTCGACATAGATCATCAACGTTGATGGTCTACAAGCGCTAACATCACTCTCGAGTAACTAGAATCGAGTTGGATGACTAGAGTTCAAATGAGAATCTATGATTAATAGAGTTCGCATAAATCCTGAAATAAGATGTCACACTAATTGTTATGCACTATAACACGGACTAGGAAGTACTTGACAATTATTTCATATTAGTATGGAACTGATTAAGTGTATGAATCATCTATCTAATCACTGGTCAAGTCAAGTATCTTCATGCATCATGGTGTGTGTGTGTTTACCATTCAAACTCATGAACAACCATTTAATGGTTTACATGTTTAACTTCAATAACACATGTACTTGTAAGTAAATCAGATAAATATCTGACAATTTATCATCCATAGTTGAAGAATAAAACTTTATATTACCGAATTTTAACTTGAATTGGTGGCCTTTCTTCTTTCTTCTCTTGTTTACGTGGAGTTTCTTCCACTACAGATTCATTTTCTGTTTCTTTGATGATAACAAATAAACAGAGAATGTAAAGGATGAAAGACTTTGACATTATGATAGAAAGTATCATTACATGATAATGGTGACTTATTTACCGATAACTTTAAAAGAAGAGTTTCAAACTAAACAGGTGGATGAAGATAATATCATGTCATCTGTTTAAATACTCCACATCCTAAAGCAGACTGATCAGTTCTATCTTAAATATTAATAATTAGAATATATTGATTTTGGCCAGGAGTGGAATGAATGACATCTATTTCATTCTTGTCGGAAATCATAAGCTGGATGTACCCCGAACCAGGTGTTGATGTTCACATATGAGCTAGAACTGAGCATCATTCTTCTTAACAAGTACTGAAATATGACACTTTTACCTTAGGAACTCTGCAATGGTGTCTTGAAATTGTAAATATTGTATTTGAGTCTTCTTAGAAGATCAGACGGGGTTTTGTGGAGAATTTAGTATTTTCATAGTTGAAATCATAAGTCAATTGAAGCTAGACCATGATGGAAAACCTGGAAGCACTGAACGGCCACTTCGTCCTATTATGGGACTCCTCAGCAGTGCGCATCCACGATCCCGCACTCGCAAGATATCTCCTTAAGTTCTAGTGGGAAGCAGTGACCAGTGTAGTTCTACCAAGTCTGTTATAGAGATATCAATTCACTGAAGACAATTGGTGAACGGTTGCTCAAAATCGTGGATTGGTTGAAGTTAGACATTAACACCGTTACATGTCGGCTCAGTGGTCTAACGGTTATGGGCTCTGGCTCGAGACTGGTAGGTCCTGGGTTCGAATCTCGCGGGTGAAGGATCGTGGATGCGCACTGCTGAGGAGTCCCATAATAGGACGAATCGGCCGTTCAGTGCTTCCAGGTTTTACATGGTGGTCTAACCTCAATTGACTCATGATTTCTTCTTAGAAGAGCCAAAACTCATTGATGTGTCGGAATATTTACGGAAATAATATGTCAAATACAATAGATCATTCTTTCTTGATGAACAGGAAGAGCTGAATAATATGTTTGCAATGTCTGTTTTACAAAACTTCCCAGGAATTTTAAGAGTTCAATAATAGTGTTTCATAAAATGATAACCAATAAATATTATTCTTGATGAACATTTAAAACCCTTTAATCTGACTTTAATGACATCATATTGATGTTATCAACGAAATACACATCCCGGTGACCCTTGTATATGGTTATCGACCTAATTCATGTCAGATAAAAACGGGGTAAAACAATTTAGAAACGAGGATAAATTTCGAATACGTATCTTTCGTACACTCATTGATCCAGACAGACATTCCGAATGAACAGCAAGAACGCAAAGGAAAACGGAGGAGGCGGGTGTGCCAACTCAATTCCATAAAGTGTGACTCCATATTTATAATTATACAGGCACGTAATGAATAAGGTAAGCAACAAACACACACTTATATAAAAACAGTCAAGGTTAATAAGCGAATAACTGACAAGATCAAAATGCGACTCAAGAAGAATGAATAAACTGATCTGTCCGGAAGCTAAATAACCCATATGGGTTTGAAATTGTACCAAACACCACAATTATGTAAGTGATTATCCGATACCCAGCAAACTTAATAACAAAAATATGATATTTTCGGTGATTGAAGCAGGAATCGAGTCTTAGTAGGAACAGAAATACTGTAATGTTAGAATGTCCAGCTAATGTATCCAAATTTGTGCGAAACATTCGTCCTAGATTATGCCGTTTTCACAATTTGAAATATAATATTAATTTTTGTAAGAGCGAGATTATAACTTATGGACGAGCCAGTCAGAAGCGAGTTAGTGGTAATAAGGTCATGGCGCCTATTTCAATACTCGATACTCACGTTAGATAGGATTACATCGGATTTCAAAGAGGACGTTTAGCTGAGCGGCTACAACTGGTGGGATTACTGAGAAGTTCCTTTACTTATGGTTGCGGTATTTGAATGACTGCTAGACATCGTGCAGACTATCGTGATGATGTTGTGTTTCTATGTAATATATGTTGGAGAAAAAGGTCTATTAGAACGGGGACTTTTCCCACTCAATCCCGATTGACGCTAAGATAGGTTATCATAATTGTTGTAAACTGGATAATAAAAGCACCAGTGAAACTGGCTGTAACCTTTGCAGATGTTACTGAAGATTTGATAGTTCAATAGTATGAGTTATGTCGAGGAGGAATCGAGAGAATCGTAGAAATCGATGAAAAAGTCGTTAGAAAACGTAAATTCATTAGAGGAAGAAGTTATAAAGAAGGCTGGGTAATTAGCACTTCCCTAAGTATACTTAGCGGATCTTCGGTACATATGACAGATCATCTCAAAAGGAACACTTCTAGCACAGGAAAAACCGACAGGCTACAACGATAATGACCGATTATACGAGAGTAGGTGTAGCGGAGTACCCTAATATAAACGGATGACTGTAGAGCATATCAATGCCTATCTAGACTTGGTTACGTGCATCGTATCGTCATTCACAAGAAGCATTTTGTAGATCCCACCACGGAAGTACAAACCGATTATATAGAAGCTAAAAGAATTTTTACATCACTTTCATGGCTCAAGAGATCGACTGTTATGGGGTCATATGGACGAGTGCCTGTACCATATGCATTACGAGTTCAGTACTGCAGCGTCTTTCTCTAACCTTGAAAAGTTTTTAAATCATGTTAAAGAAGTGTATTTACTCTAATCTTTTGGATTTGTATAACATATTCCTACTTTATACCGACTTTTTTGATTGATTCAAATCTATCAAGGTCACTTGTGATTCGTTCTAAGGTCGGCCATCGATTATAGTCTTTCCAAAAGGGTTGGATAATAAATTTGTCTAATTGAAATAAATGGTTTACAGCTAACAGTGGAATCTAGAACGTTCATCTAGTCTTGTTTAGGACTCATCCGTTGGATGTACTTGCATTCCAGTATTGCGGTTCATATTGGGACTGGAATTACAGATCTTCCAATTCGATTCGAACTCACTGAACTAATGAGTTCAGATGTTCAGGGTTATAGGGAAGAGTTGTACGTTTCTGAAGAACATCATGACAGAGCGAAATAGCTTAACAGAAGTTCTTTTTTTAATCCCTATCACTTTTCAACTGAATTAATTTTATAATGTAGATCGTTAATAACTCTAAGATGAAATTAACAACTCACTTATTTCTTCTGATGTATCAACTACATATTCAAATGGATGAAGTTTTGGAGGTTTCACACAAGTTGTAATTGTCCAACCTTTAACTGTCTTAGGCTGTCGAGGTAATGAAACCAGTTCAAAACGAATAACACCACCAATCACATGATAGTCACCTAAATCAATTGCATCTTCTTCCATATCAGCTTTTATCCAATTTTCAGGTTCTAAATGTAATAAACAAATGATTAATTTGGGAACTATTTGCATTATTATTATTACTTAAACACATAAATATTGGTACAAAGAAGCACCAGATACATACGCGCCACACAAATCATTGGTTTGTAATCAAGGTTTTCCAACTCCCCTAGGTGGACACTCCACATCCACCAACTCGATTAAAGTGCCATACATTCTCTTTTCGTCCTCTCACTTTCGTAAACAACACCTGTGGAACGAGATGGCAGTGAGTAGGACTTCCCTGGCAGAGGCTATATACGCGTGGCCATGTGAGAGCATTTCGAAAGGGAGAGAGGAATCTCCTCACTCTCGGTTGTACCAGGGCATTTGGGGGCATTTGATTAACTGGTAATAAGTGGATCATCGGTTGAATAGTGTTCAGCTTAAGAAGAGATTAAGATTACTTTAAGAATACACTACCAGTGAATATATCTTAGGTTTTGTCAGCGAAAATCGTGTCTGTGGTTCAGTAAATCATATTCAACAAATTTTTCCATTCAGCTTCTTCACTGGTTATATTGTTATCCAATGTTATTCTGCGTTTGTTATTCCAGGTCAACTGTAATCTTTTGCATAGATCCTTTTTTTATCGTAATCGGATTGCCTTTACTTAGGACAATATAAGGGTTTTTATGAAGAGTAATCTTCACTCTCCTATTGAATACGATGTCAGACATAGGTTAACATGTAGTAACGTTATATTTCTTTAGGATTTAAATGGCTAATATAGAATCATGCTCAATGTACTGAAAGTACTCAAATTTTATTATCTCAAGTCAGGAAATCGACAATCTTTTTAAGTTAGTGGTTTATAAAAGTTCAAAATTGCGAATAACTTCAGCGTTGTTTTCTTATGGTTTCCGACTCTCAAGGAGTTCATGATCATAACCCTAACATAGGGTTGAACAAAAGACATTCAAATTTCCTAACAAAAAAGCATATACGCAAAGATGGATAGTTGCTAGCAGTGGAATCCAGGATGCGTGTTTCGTCCTATTTGGGACTCGTCAGCTTGATGTACCTATATTTCAGAGTTGATGCTCACTCTGGCACTCGAATCAAGTACCATCCGCTTCAAATACCATCTCATTATCTCATAGCCACCTGCTTGTGTAATGGGGTGAAGTTTAAGTTCAATTGATATTGTTTGTTTGAATCTTCCCATTGATGTTAAGGACCGCAATTGATCAAAGTACTATAGGATCAAATACTTCTAGTTAGATTTAAAAAGAGATAATCTACCAGGAGTTCTTCAACATATCTGAAGTAAGTAGCCTAGAATCTCTTTTCTTCAGCAATTTATGACTGAGTAAATCAATCTGCTTAAACCAACTATACTTTAAATACCGTTTTATCCTTTGAGCTTTAGTGTAGCTTTCATTATCCATTTGGACATGATTATTAGTGTCTACTTCAAGTAAAAAACAGTGATCCCTATAAAAGCGTCTATCTAAGCTACAAGCCTTATCTATCATATCACAATTAATCTTTTACATCAGAAACACTCTAACTTGTACAATAAAAAAAGTAATATAAACAATAACCTGGTGTAGGGATTCGATCTTCTGGAGGAATTTCAAATACTTCTTCTACTTCATTTGTTTGTTGTTTTTCACCATTATCATCATTTAACAAAGTCTACAAGAATATGAACAACAACAATATGAACAAATAAATTAGTAGACCTTAAAATATTCAACTATGGTGTTGGTATTAATACCTTCTAATTCTAAGTGATTATATTCTCTATCTTTCGACCAATCATTTCAAAGATCATTAAGGATCTTGCAAAGATTGTTCTTCTTTTGTCAACAATGTAGATCATTATAAAGTTCATGGAACAACTACTTCACAATACTTCTAAATGAAATTTGCTGTAACCTCCCAATATTTGAAGACTGTTTATGCAAATGGTGGATTCAAGAAAACCGTCTTTTCAAGGAAATTAAGCGTTTCATCATGTGCTGTTAAAAGATGCTGTGTGAAGAGTCCCTGATTTTTTGACTTTGAGAAGTGTTTCCATGACTATACATTATAGCTCTCCTTTACGAAAACTTCTATTACAATGTGAAATAAGTGAAAGTACCTAATTGTTATAGATGGGAAAGTCTGTAATACGGCCATATGATTACAATTATTTTTTTAGACAAATTCGCAATACATTCAAATCCTCAATAAGTTGAAGTTTAACAATGAAAAGAAAAATTAAATGCATCATAGATTTTCCTTGTTTTACTTGCATTTATCTGTGATGATAAATAGCCCCCGCCCTCCAGCCATAGAAACATGAAGCCAAGTAGGCCCTTCTGGAGAAGATTGCTACATCGAAGAACGGCACAACTACCTGGGCGGGATAGCTGTTTCTGCACTGTTTACGCAGAACCGTTACATAACATTCACTTTCGGTTTTTTTAATATTATTTTTGAGCAGACTCATTTTTTATCATTCTTTTGAACCTTCAATAGTTATGCGATGACTCTTTGTCGCGTTCGTAATCGTTTGCGGGTATAGGAAGAGTGGTTGACTAGGCCGATCTCCACCACCCACATTACCGCTCACGTTAGTACCTGGGATGGTTGCCATGATCCAGGAGGCACGACGAGGTCGTGTGAGTCGGATTAGTAGCGTTGTGGGATTCGCTAACTATATGAGCTTAATCGATATGGCTGCAACACTCTTCTACATTTACAGCTAACTGATTATTGAGTAGCAACTAAATTTCTGTTTGTCTTATCATTCAGTGCTGATCGAACTTTATCAATCAATTTTTTACGTGACCAGTAGTCTTATAGACTCGAAATCTAATGCACTTATTATAAGATGTTAAGTAGTTAAAAGCCACCTGTAGAAAATCCTGCTTGGTCTAGGCTTTATACTTGTTGACATTCTTCGGTTCGATAATGAAATCTCAGACTATCGAAATGGATAGTTTGGATTCGAATCAAACAGGGTACATCAGTTATGTTAACATTACAAGGACACCCAAGTAACTTGAAACATAGGTCTAGAGCCTCTTACTGACTCCCTCTGACCACTTAACATTACTCTTCCCTTTTCATTCCCTGAGTTTGTTCTTAATTTTCGAATCATATCCTTAATTTAAAGCCTTTTTTGTATTATTGTTAACGAATAAGTTTTGTGACTATTTTGGTCGGTATATTACTTGTTTGTTCTAGGTTTTACATTAATCGTGATAAAGTGATTGGAAGTCACCATTTGAAAATTCCATTCGCAATCTGTATTGTCTAATGATAACCTTCTTAAATACCGAGGAAGGTGTGTAGTAGTGGTTCTTTTTACGAATTTTATCCAGTTAGTTATTACGTGACTAAACCCCCGATTAGAACATGACTTATACAACCTTGGCGCTATGCCAAACCAATGACGTGTTGACCAGTAGGAGGAGCCTGGATTCAAACTTGAGTCCTTATTGATTCTTCACACACAGCCCTGCCTGTTAAGTCTAGAACACACTCTCAGCTCCTACTGTATAAATCATGTATTTCAGACATATGCCGTTTATATACAAGTAAATCAGACCACATCATATCAGAAAATAGAAAATAACACTTATGTAAGATGAAATTAGAAAGTGGCTGTGATTGTGAGATACTGTAACTAACAGATTAAAGATAACTTAAGAATAGTAAATCATATAATAGTAGTCTATAAGTTAACTGGAAGCTTATAATAAAAGGAATATGAATATACATATAATATAGTTACTGAATTTATTTATTTAAGCACATAAATATTGATACAAAGAGGAACCAGATATATATGTGTCACATTGATCTCATTTGATTTGTGTGAGGGCTATGATACTGACCGGGTGCCTAAACCGAAGAACGTGGTTTCCTTAGGGGGCCACACCCGGAGACTTCAATCCACAAGGCAATAGAGAATCGTGAGGAGATGCAATCTCATGGTAGCTGGTGACCAACAATTGATTCATACGCCATTTGTTTCCTCAGGATACTGGAACCCATGTGCACCATTGGTTTGGAATCAGGGTTTTCCAACTAACCTAGGTGGACTCTTCGTATCCATCAATCCGGTCAAAGCGCCGGACATTCGTTTTTCGTCCTCTCAATTTCGTAAACAACAGTAATGTCTTAAGAAGACAGTGAGTAGGACTTCCCTGGTAGAGGCTATATAAGCGTGGCCATGTGAAAGCATTTGGAGAAGGCGAGAGGACTCTCCCCACTCTCAGCCGTACCAGGGTATCCAATAAGAATATATGCGATAATAGTCCATAAGTAGTTCTCAACAGTTATCATTCATTTACTCTACGTTAGAATATAACAGTTCGGATTTCTAATGCATCACAAACTGTGCATTATGAATATAACTGATTAATGATTTTCAATTATTTAGATACAGATTTAAATGATCTCTCTCTCTCTTTTTTAAACACATAGCAACAATAAATATTTTCATAGTTGCAAGCATGAGTCAATTGAAGCTAGACCACCAAGGAAAATCTGGAAACACTAGACGGCCATTTCGTCTTATTGTGGGACTATTCAGCAGTGAGCATCCACGACCTTGCCTCGCGAGCGAGATTCGAACCTAGGACATACCGGTCTCGCGCCAGAGCACTTAACCGATAGGCCACTGAGCTGGCTCACGCTGACTAACGATTGCAACTATGGCAATACTGAAATCTCCACAAAATCCCTTCTGATAATAAATTAACTCATTAAAAAACAACAAAGAGATGATGCTAAACATACTTCTTCTGTTTTACTTTCATTGAATGGATTCTTTTCATTCAAAGTACCATCTTGTTGAATAACTTCATGAATGACTGATTCAGTATGAACTTTAGTTCAATAAGATGCATTTACATGAATTATAATTGACTTACTTGATTTAGGTAGTTTACATGGATAATATGATTGACATTGAAATGAATAATTATCAAATTTTATAAAATTTATTAAAAATGCACAATCAGACAAAGTTAATACTTTTGATATATCAAATGTAAGATCAATTTCAGTGAATGTAAATTGTTTAATCCTAAAAGATTTATAGGTAGATAAAAAAAGAAGATAAGAATATTAATGATAATCAACATATCAGAAAGGGGTTTTGGTGGATATTATAGTAATCTTAATAGTTGAGATCATGAATCAATTGAAGGTAGATCATCATGGAAAACCTGGAAGTACTGGACGGCTGTTTCGTCCTATTATCGCCCCCCGAATGCCCTGGTACGGCCGAGAGTGGGGAGAGTTTGCTCTCTCTTTATCGAAATGCTCTCACATGGCCACGCGTGTATAGTCTCTGTCAGGGAAGTCCTACTCACTGCCTTCTCACAATCGCATTACTGTTGTTTACGAAATTGAGAGAACGAAAAGCGAAAGTATGGCGCTTCAACCGGATTGGTGGACATGAAGAGTCTACCCTGGGCGTTTTGGAAAATCCTGATTGCAAACCAATGGTGCACATAGGCTTCAGGATCCTGAGGGAACAAATGGCGTATGAATCAATTATTGGTCATCGGCTACCATGAGAATGCATTTCTTGACGATGCTCCACTGCCTTGTGGATCAGACCTTTAGGCCGAAGGCTCCGAGTGTGGCCCCCTAAGGAAACCACACTGTTCGGTTTGGGCACCAGGGCAGTATCACATCCCTCACACAAATCAAATGGGATTAATGTGGCACATATGTATCTGGTTCCTCTTTGTGCCAATATTTATGTATTTAAATAAATAAATAAATTATGGGAATCCTCAGCGGTGCGCATCCATGGTCCCGACTCGCCGGATTCGGAGTCAAGACCTATCAGTTTAGCGCGCGAGCGCTTAACTTTTAGACTACTGATCTGGCCGGCATCCAACGGTGTTATTGTCTAACTTCAACCAATGCACGAAATTGAATGACGCATCCACCAATATCTTCAATGAGTTGATATCTGACAACAGACACGGTTGAATCCCTCTAGTCGCTGCTAGAACTCCAGGAAACACCTCATGGAGCCATTCACTAGTGAGCATATATTGATTATTATCAGAAGAGGTTTCATGGATATTATAATAATGCGTGGATGCACACTGTTGAGGAGTCCCTTAATAGGACGAAACAACCATCCAGTGCTTCCAGGTTTTCCATGATGGTCTAAGCTTCAATTGACTCATGATCTCAACTGTCAATTGAAAATGATTATTACCTTGGATTTTTAGATAAATTACCCCATATACATAATACAATCCAATTATTATACCAAATTTTTTGTAAATTTAATGTTTCATGATCTGCATAATAAATAGCTCTTGTTAATGTTTCTATAATAGATCTATCTAATTTATGATAGATTTGTTTCCTTAATTCATGTTTCATCTAGAGATTGCATTAGCATGGATCAAATATACCTTACTTGATTATATTTCGACAATATTTTATGATCTTCATCAGTATCCATGAGTTGAGAGATCAAAAGGTTCAGCTCATCAATGATCTATTCATGACAAAGAATGAAAATTCAACGGATACTCACTTTAAAACTATTCACACAATCATCCATTACATCTTCTATAGATAGACGTTGTTCATTTGAATTCCATAAACTAATATATGTATTAATTTCATTTTCAAGTGTTGGATTAGGTAAATCATCACATTGAAAATATCTTTTCCACTATTTATATTACTATTAATCATTTAAGTAGATTATTAGTTTACGGTATATTGATTTCGGCATTGTAATTCAAGTTGTTGTAGACGTTTGTTTTGTTCATTGATCAATGTCCGTGTTTCTTTTAATTCTTCAATTCGTATTTTAAGATCCTAAAACAAAAGTTTATTATAAATTTTATTGTTAGTGAATTAGAAACTATTCATCTTTGCCACTTGCGCGATGGCGTTTGAAGCGAAAGGTACTGGGTTCGAGTCCCAGAGTGAACATCAACTCTGAGATGCAGGTACATCCAGCTGACGAGTCCCAAATAGGACGAATCGCTCGTCAAACTGGATTCCACTGCTAGCCACTATCCATCTTTGCTCACAATGCTTGTGAATTAAGGGTATATCGAGGCAATACGTACAGTATACATATCTGCCAATTAGTGACTGACCAGTTGCAGTCCTAACACATCGATGGGAAGATTCAAACAAACAATACTAATCGAATTTTAACTTTCATCTTCAGTCTAGAAAATAATTTTTTCATTCAATTTTAGGTTTTTGAATTACATCAATAAAATGGAATTGAGTGCTGGTACGACGAATCAGTTGTTCAAGAGCTATTGGTTTTGAACTTACATTGAGTACAAGATCAGTTTACTGGTCTGAATGATAATGTATGAGTTTGATTACATACATATATCTTGTTTAGACACTTCTTTTAATATTGTCGAGTATGTGGGAATATGTAGCCTAAACTAGTGTACGTTAATGTTCGATGCTTTAACTTTTTAAAACAGTGGTGAAAGGCTAAGAAAATGACAATTTTATAAGTCAGTGACATTTACTAAAAGTTGGCAATAATCATCAGCTATCATAGAAATAAGGAGACCATACCTTAATTGGACTGCGTTAAAGTTCTCAGAATTAACAGTTCAATTCATCTGAATACTTGTAACTAATAATTATCATTGGTCACATTGGCCCTCACATAATAACAACAATATTCGTTAGCTTATATCATTACATGATATTTTGCTTTCCGATGAATCAAGTCATTTCAGTTCGAAGATTAGCAGTTTAAAAGTGTTGCTGCTACTGAAGTGACATTATTTAGGTTGATTTTAGTGAACGTACTTAAAAATGTTCGTCAAGGAGCAATATTGCATCTTGAAATAAAGCCTTCCAAAGATTTGCGTTTCTTAAGAAATAATAATCGGTTAAAGTTATGAGTGTGAACTGTTGGATACAGACTCAATGGTCTGCTAACTCGAACTTAAATATTTTTCAATTCTGTCAAGCACATGATGCCATTAGTACACACATGCAGTTAATTACATGAGTCCTTACTTGGGTAGATGATTTATATTTTATTTACCTAAGTCTGTTATCCGTACTAGAGAATAGGCTACCGGGAAGAAACATCCAAGAAATCCTTTTCTAAGCCCTTCCTTTCCGTTGTCGCCAACTACTATCCCCCATCTTGAAACCTAATTCTGAAACCTAGATTCATGTGTTTTCTGGTCCTCCCTTTTTCCTTCAACCTATAAAATTCCAAGTTAGAACTTGACTTTTTATCCAGTTTGGTGATTTGTGTATGATATATGTATATATATATATATATATTTACTACCCATCTCCAATGTCTTTCCTTTGTCTTTTCCTGATCTGAAAGCTATTGATTTGCTGATAACCTTCAGTCAATGTATCTGAAGTATCTTGTGTAGACAGCTATCTATAAATCTTTCGACATTTTTTTGATTGCTGTGATAGTGCTTTGTAGTTTCAGTGTTTTGAAAACTTGTGTTTAAAATTCTGTCAAACTATTTGTCCTAATATAGACAAATACTCATATAAATTCAGATCTAGATTTAAAGCCACAGTTTTTGAGGATTTTGTATACTCTTTAATCGTTGAAAACCTTCAGTTGTTTTTCTAATTCGTATCTTCACTTGACAAGGATTTTTTCAGTGAAATTCATTTCTAAGTGGTAGGGTAACCAGCCATCCGTACAGCTCATCTCATTTAATCGAAGACCGAAAGTAAACCTAGAAGGCTTTCAGCGCAATTAAAATCAGTACTAGTCTGTAAAAGCGTCTTAAAATAACAAATTACTTTACTAATATTTCTTTTTTCTTACCGAAATTTTCATATTTCTTAGTGTTTCAATTTACCTTACTATTTCTTATCAAAAGTCTGTGGCTAAAAATTCATTTAAAAGTAACGCAAAATGTTATTCATCCAGTTTTAAACATAGAGGGAGTCTAATTAAGTTGTAAGGACAGTGGAATGTCACTGAGTCCCAGCTAAATCATCCAACAGTTGGGTCGCTGAATATCGAACAGATCATCGATGCCTGTCAAGGTTCAAGATAATCAACGCCCATTACTTTAGCTTGTATCTAATTCAACAAATATATTTCTTTAATAATGTCCTTTGTGTTGTATAGTCTTCAGAGCATCTATAGTCCCTTGATACGTCAATGGGGCAATCCACGTAATGTGCCAATCGCGAGGTGTGACTTAGACGTTAGTTAGTTCGTCAGACCATTTCTGTCTAACTCTAGTAGGTCCCCAATCATCCGACATAGATCATCTACTTTCACTATTCTATAAGACTGATTCACCCATTAATGATATTCATTAACTAATGGTGGTTTAAAAGCGCTAACATTCTGACTTATAGATTACGTCATTAATCTTTATTAGTTCAAGTTCCATTTGATTTCAGAGCCTACTAACATCTAACCATGTGGGAATGTGTCGTAATAACGGGGTATTCGGTCTGTAAGAACTCCAGAAATTGGATACGATTAAACGTTTACGTTTGGGATATATTGAATAACAGTTCTAATGTAATGTCTAAGAAAGATGAAAACATAAGTACAAATCAAGCTTGGTACAATGAACTCAGAGGTGGGGGTTAAAATTGTAAAAGGTCTTCGTGTTTGCCCCTTGAATTAGAAGAATGAAATGTCGCGACCTCTTTAAATTTTTTAACTACCGAGTAAGTAATAATTTCTATATTAGTCCCTGATATATGTTCATAAGACAAGAAATAATCAGTGAATTCCAAATTTACACATCTGAAGAGTATAGTTTTAATAAGGATTCTAGCTAGTTGAGTTTTCAAAAAACTGAAGGTTTCCATTATGCAAATCAGAAGGAACATACTAACAGGCAGTTTCGATGAAATTGATATCACATAACTGAATTTTGGTACTTCTCCACCATAAGATCTCATCTAAGTTGCCATATGTGGTTGGTGTGACTAGACTTACTTCAAGCTCCGTTTACCTGTCGAGTTGCCCGCATTCACAACTTTTATCAAAATAAACCACAGTTCTGTCTTAATTATTCATTGTTAGGAGGAAAAAGCTTTCGGAATGATATTCAATGAATAAAACAGTACGAATTCAACATAACAAATATCACTATTTCAAGAAAATATGGTTACGAAACATCACGTGAAATTATTGTGGTATAAAGAATGTTATAAACTACATAAACAGTGTCTAACCTCTTTCTCCTGCAGTGCTTTGCGCAATTCTAGTTCTTTTTCTTCTCTAAGTCTTTCTTTCTCTTCTTCAAGTTCCCTCAACTTTGTTTCGTCTTTCCAAAATGGAAATAGAAATTAATCGTACCCACATTATTCAGCTTTTTACTGGAATCTCTGTTTTTCTTTGCTGGTCGACTCGCCTTTCTATAAAATAAAGAAACGATTTACAAATACCATAATCCGCAGGTTTTCAAAAGTGTGCGTGCTTACTGTTATGACACAACAATATAAAACAAATAAAAGACAACGTTCAATTTTGAACATGTTTGAAAATATTGATCCAGGTATGCTTATATATTTTGACTTTATGTTCGCAATAATGAACGAGAACAAGATATCGGTTATGGGCATTTTTTGACATTTGTCAATCTGTTTGAGATAGTATAATCTAACGTACTTTAACTGACTATGAGATAAACAGATAATGGAGACAGTCTAAATGACCAGGTCAACTTCCAGAGCTTGTTGTTGGAATGAGTCATTCATTTAAATACCTTTGCTTGGTCATAGTTTTAGTTACAAACAGGTATTTGGATAAGTGTTGTGGGTGTGGTGCTCATTAGCACCCGTTTCGTTGATAAGATTCTCACTCACAAAGCCCGCCTGTACCAAGGCTCTAGTGATTACGCCTTAATAAGCCGTGAATAGGAGAGAACGTTTTCTCTATTTTGTTGAACATTACTTAGCTTCGCATAGCGTATTCAGCTCTAAGCCCACGTATATGGGTTTAGAGATGCCACAAGTATTCGGAGTTTGACAATGAGTTTATTCACAATACCTTTATAATCAGTGTATGCTATATCAGAAGTCAAAAATGGAGGGGTTCAAAGATACGTCTGGAAGTCTATCGGTGTGTTTGTCTTAGTTGGTTAACAGTCGAAAGGAATGCATGCCAAATCGGAACCAACTCCTTAGACTTCTTAGGACACACTATTGGTGCCCAAGGCATCCGACCCCTTAGAAGCAAAGTGGCGGCCATTCTGGATTACCCAGAACCGACCACGATCGAGCACTTGCGAACTTTCAATGGACTTGTAAGTTTCTATAGACGGTTCATACCTCAATACGTATCTCTTATGAAACCGTTAACCGATCAACTGCGTGAAAATGCAAAATCAATTTGTTTAGACGACACAGCTCGAAAAGTACTCTCCACAGTTATGGAACTCATCGCTAAGTCAACCCTGCTTGTGCATCAGGACACTCAAGCGCCCATTAGTATCGCCGTAGACACATCCAACTCAGCAATCGGAGCAGTCTTACAATAATGGGTTAACAACTCTTGGCAACCTAAAGGATTTTTCTCGAGACGGTTGCTAGACGCAGAATCTAGGTACAGCACGTTCGGTAGGGAACTCCTAGTTATGTATTGTGCTGTACGACATTTCCAACATTACATCGAAGGAAGAGAATTCACAATTTTTACCGATCACAAACCTCTTACCTTCTCTTTAAGTTCATCTTCAGACAAGTACTCACCACGAGAGTCTCGACAACTCGACTATATTTCGCAGTTTACTTCAGACATACAACACATTTCTGGAACAAACAATGTATTCGCAGACGCCTTGTCTGGAATAAGTTCCTTGAAGAGTGTCCAAGGAATCGACCTTCTTAAACTCGCTCAGCTTCAAAAGAAGACATTGATCTTCAGCATGAGTTATCGTCGACAACTCTTAAACTAAGTATTAAGCAGATAGGAACAGGTAAGGAAACCTTACTTTGTGACACATCTACAGGTAGGAATCGTCCAATCGTACCGAAACATTATCGACGCAGCGTCTTCAATACGTTGCACAATCTTTCTCACCCAGGTGCTCGTGCAACAGTCAAACTTATAGCCGAACGGTTTTGCTGGCATAGTATGAATAGAGACTTGAGGGAGTGGGCACGCTCCTGTGTAAGCCGTCAGAAATCTAAGGTCAGTAGACACAACAAATGTCCCTTAGGTTCTTTCAAAACCCCTGACGCTCGTTTCGACCACGTTCATCTAGATTTGTTAGGACCCTTACCCAATTCAAACGGATACTCATATCTCTTAACGTGCGTAGACCGTTTCACTCGATGACCAGAAGCAGTACCGATTAAGGACGTTACTGCTGAAACAGTGGCTCGCGCTTTCGTCGAACGATGGGTAACAAATTTCGACTGCCCTTCCACGATCACTACAGATCGCGGAAGCCAGATCGAATCTGGACTTTTCTGTTGTCTGACCTCACTTTTAGGAATCATGCGCTTCTGAACGACCGCCTACCACCCACAAGCAAACGGGTTGGTAGAACGTTTTCGTCGACAATCAAAAGCTTCATTATCAGCTTCAAACGTTTCACAGTGGACAGACGCTCTCCCACTCTTCTTGCTAGGTGTCCGCAATGCACTGAAAGCTGACATTGGATACACGGCATCTCAACTCGTTTACGGAACGACACTCCGACTCCCAGGAGAATTCGTGGATCCTTCAGCTTCTTCATTGAACATGGATCTAAACTCTTTCACCAGTAGGCTTTCAAACGCTATGCGTTCAGTCAAACCTGCTCACACTCGACCTCAATCAACGAATGTTTTCGTTCAACCTGACTTACGACATAGTACACACGTCTTCGTTCATCGAGACTCACATCGACAACCTCTCGAATCAGCATACGAAGGACCCATCAAAGTTCTTCAACGCGAACCTGAGTACTATGTAGTCTATACGAACGGTATGAACGATAGTATCAGTATCGATCGACTGAAAGCAGCGTACTTAGAAGGAAACCCTAGCTACGTCGATTTTCCTTCGGTACAAGCAAACGACACAGCTACTACACCTGTAGTACCCCACACGACAAACGACACACAACTTGATACATCGTCAACGTCGATAGAAAAACCTAAAACAACGCGTTCTGGAAGACGAGTAAGATCTCCAGAACATTTTAACGACTATTGCTCGTAAAACACAAGCTTTATCTCGAATTCCCTGTTTCAATGTTTATTATAAAAAAAATTTTTTTTTATATGCTCATCTTTTATTGATATAAAAACCCGAAAAAAACCTTTTTTTCCTGATCGCTTTCACGCTGTTTTGTAAGTGTATTAGTTCATTCATTTTTTCCCGCTAATCTTGTGTCCTTACGCAAGTACGAGTACATTTTCGACATGCACTGACATGTTTTAATTTTTCCTCTTTTCCAGGACGGCTGGAAAAGAACGACGAATTTTCCCAAGGAACCGAAATTTTCATTGCACTTTATTTCTTTATTGCTTTGTTGTATATTTTGGTCCCTTAGTATAAGAAAAGACGACCAGACGCTGCTAAATGAAGCAAGCTATCAGAAGAGTGAACGACAAACTCGTTGAGTTTAAACTTCTGGCTGGTCACGTCTTAAGGGCATCACTACCTCACTGGGGGGGAGTGATCTGTAGCTGTAAATAAACCCTCAAAATCTATAGCTTTCTAAGTGTTCGACATTGGATGCTGACCACGTTGTTTATGTGGACTTGTTCAACTGAAGACTTTCGGTCATGCATCTGCACCAGATCACGTTGCAACTCAGCGTTGGACACAGCTCCTACGTTTACATAGTCAGCTAAGAAAAACGCCTCTCGATATATTGGTAACGTATCAAATATATCTTTTCTGCTTCTTCTCGTCTGACTTCTGATTTCTGTTTGGCCAAAAAAGTTTCGATTATAGAAGGTGCTACTGGTAGCTAGTTGTTTAACTAGAATATCCGTCGTATCTTCAACGGTATACTGACTCATGATCTGGTGAGAATGCGTGACCGAGCACCTTCAGTTAGGTGAGTTCAATAAAGCCAATGGGATCATCATGAAATTCGGAATAATTACAAAACTATTTATTTTGGAGATTTATTTAGCACTACAGCTTTAAAACACAAGTTATGTATAACACTGGACATTATAAGGCAAAGAGAATTGATATAAGGACAAGTTATCTGATTGCCTAAAAACTCATTGTCATCGGAATAAAGCCATATATATTATTTCCCGATAGTTCGTTATTTAAAAAGGATAGGGAACCGTATAACATCAGGATTAAAAGTATCGTGAGGCACGTAATGAACAACTGAAGGAAGATGTGCAAATAATGTATATAATGTATGGTTTTCATATTTCTGGAAAGCACTCTGTATTTTGCATCAGGTAATTAGTTAGTTAGGCTTTCTGAAAAAGGATATTGGTTCATCAAAGCGAACTAAAACCGGGCAGACAACCAAAAACTGTCCGTTTTGCATAATTTTGTACAATTTATGACTAAGGCGATTAAACAAACTATTCATTTTCAAAAAACGGAGTCAATATATACTATTTTAAAACATCATACTGTAAGGATGGCTTGTTGACAAACTCAAGGAAGCCTGAAAAAACCCAGAAAGAGCCGAAGACATTCCATTTAATCGCCATTAGAGGAACGTTCTAAAATGTCGACGTGTAGCTTCCCTATTGGATGAATAAGAAGGACCCCCTATATACTTATTGGCTGTCCGAAATGATGATTTACTTTCAGACAAAAACTATAAATACACGAGATTTTTGTACTATATTTGACAGTGTTTGGAATAACATACTTACTTACTAGTCTTCTGTCTTCTCATTTCGCGACTTGGGAGGGTTCTAGTGTACGAGTGCAATACGTGATATAATAAGAATCTAAATTCAAGATATAACACATACAATAAGAGAATGACCTGACATTTTTGAGATAATGTTCTGAATATTAATGTTTGTCGAGTTTACTGTAGGGCCAGTGAAATGTCACTGAACCCTAGCCAAATCATCCGGCAGTTTGGGTCAGTAAATATCAAACAGATCATCGATCCCCATCAAGGTCAAGGACAATCAACGCGCATCAGTTAATCATACGCCATGGACTGGCCCATGCTGCAGTGGTTCTACTTTCGCTTGTATCTACTTTAACTAATATATTTCTGTAATAACGTTCTTTGTGTTGTACAGTCTTCAGAGCATCCATGGTCTCTTGATACGTCGATGGGGCAATTCACGTAAGGTGCTGGTCCCGAGGTGTGACTTTGAAAGTAGCTTGTTCGAAGTTAACTTATTCATTACACTGTCCCCGTCTAACTCGATTAGGCCTTCAATCATTCGACATAAACCATCAACGTTGATGGTCTACATCACCAACCCCCTCATCTTTATGCTCAACAATTTCT